TTCTTTGCCTTTACCTGGGGAACATGTTATCCAACTTGTATTTCCCATATAAATGTCCCTGTACAGATAAGTTCAGTGACTTGCAGGTAGTAGATGTTCAAACACCAATTACTTGTTGAGTAAATGATTAATACTTGACTAGAATTGCATGATTGTAAGCCACACCCACAAATGAAAGGCAGGACTGGGTTATTTGAAAAAATACATACCATCGTGGTATCAACAATCCAGCAGATCAGAGGTCTGAAATCTACACAGGGAACATGCACTTAGCTGCTGAACAGCATGACACAGGCAGAATGCAAGCACCATGGCATGCACCTATAGTTCCAGCTACTTGAGAGGCTGAGGGAGAATCACTTGATGCCATGGGCTTGAGGGACCAATCATGAGAGTTGAAGAAACAAAGGTGTGTGTTCAGGGGCTTCCTAAACTCTACCCACTTAGCTGAGACTCTTGCTGAGGAGTGGGAGACCTTGAGCCCTGAGGCTTGAAGTTCTCAGATCTGACTTCACATTGAAACTCCCTGAACAGTTTTTTTAAAAACTATAGATATGAATCTGAATCAAACTCTAGAGTGGGTGGTGGGGGAGAGAGTCTCTATGAGTGGAAGAAGCAGTTGAGTGAGGAATTGGAGTACAGATGGGGCAGGCAGGRTCTGTGGTCCATATTCATCAAGAACCACCCTCACAGACTCTACTGAGCCTGTGAACATCTCGGGGGATATTCTGTAAAAGGTCTGTAGTGTACTTGGCACAGAAAGAAGGTTCTCACGTGAATCCTAGGCCTGAGTTTGGGCAAAGTTGCTATTCCTTATGTCTCTGGCCTGGACTCTCACTAAAAAATGTGGAAGTGCCGTGATCCAGAAAACTTCTGTCCTGTAGATCTGAAGATAATAAGCCTGAAGGAAAAAAAGTTGGGCATATGTCTGTTGCTGGAAGGGACAGATGCCTGAGGTCATGTTCCAGTGTCACTGAAGCTTGTAGCTAACCTGGGTAGGGGACAGGCAGTCACACTAGTGCCTAATGCCAGGCCCAACATTGAGGTATCCTTGATCCAGCACCTCTGCAGACTGAGACCAGGGATTCCTGGTGTTCATTGTTGTGGGAAATGGGAATGAGACCAAAAATGGACTTATAGGCAAGCAGAAAGCCCAATCCATGTAAATGGACAGGCTGCAGCCACCACTGGAGACAAACTCTRCCAAAAATAAGACTGTTTCCAAACAGCCACCTGTTTGGGGAATTAAGAACAATCTAAAGATATTGCTACAGCTCAGTGGCTTTTAGACTGAATTTTAGGAGTTGGTGGCTGAGTATTTGAAACCCCGAAATTGGGAGATATTCCATTGGGTTACACAAAAAGKCATGTACTCCCCCCACCACACCTATGGAAAGTCCAGGGATAGATAAACATTTGGGGAAAGGTACATCTAGTTATTCAGGTTATATCACTAGAAATCTCTCTCATTTCTCTCTCTCATCAAGTACATTGGCATCATTCCCAGGCAGCTTCTCCAGCATGGCTTGGGTATAGCAAGATTGCCTCCACCTGCTTTAGGCTAATATTTCACCAACTTCAAAATCTTGTGGGAAGATATTGCTGCTTTCCCAGTAGCTCTTGCTAAGGTTCCTGCTCTTTGCATGAACTTGGGTCACGTGCTAAATCTCATCCAATCCCTGTGATTGACAGGCAAGACCAGGTCTTAGGCTCTTCCTTGGAGTGTGGGGTGGGCAAGGGGAAGATGTCAGCCACACCCCAAAACATGGTCTGGGAGTGAAGGAAGGATGGTTCTTCAAAGAAAATCAAGGTGCTATTACAAGAAAGAAGAAGGTCTAGATGGCAAATAGGGGAAAATGCACTCCATGGGGGGGTTCTCAAAGTGTAGTCCCTGTAGCCAACAATGCCAGCATCCTCCCTGGGAACTTATGGGAATGCAKATTCTCAGGCCCCACTCAGACCTACAAAATCAGAAACTCTGGGTATGAAGCCCAGTAATCTGTATTTTAACTCACTCTCCAAGTGATTCTGATGCACACTCAAAAGCACAAACCTTTTATAGAACAACTCCTGGAGATGTCCACAGGCCATGCCACACCAGTGGTTCTCCAATTGTATTACACATTAAAAAACACCTGGGAAAACTTAAACTCACTGATCCCAGCTGAGAGTCGATTTGAATCTCAGGGTTTGTYGGGGAGGGAAGACTCAGGCACTAATGGTTTTCCAATTTCATTTCACCCTGGAATATCTTTGGGAGCCTGAACAAACACTAATGGTTAGAAATTTTTAAAGCTCTCTAACAATTCTCATTAGCACCAATATTTAAAAACCATCTTTCTGTGTTAGCTTTTCATCACTTTGACCAAAAYACCTGATACAAACAGCTTGGAAGAGGAAAGATTTATCAGAGATTTCAGTCTGTAGTTGCTCTGGCACTCTGATTTCTGAAGTAAAAGTGGGGTCTTCCTCAAATATCTCATTCAAACCAGTGTCTATAAGATGATACCATCAGCCTTTGTAAAAGGACTATGACAGAAAAGTGATCTAGTGTCATCTGAACATAAAAGTCTGAAGGAAGACTTTTAAAAAGAACTGATTATTCATTCAGCGATTTTATTTGTTTATTTATTTATTACAATAAATAATAGAATTTAGAACCTCCTATGAACTAAGCAGGCATTCTACTACTGATCTACACTCCCAACGCCTAACCTAGCAATTTGGTTTGGTTTGGGACTGAGGATTGAACCCAGGGGCACTTAACCATTGAGCCATATCCCCACCCCTTTTTATTTTGTATTTTGAGACAGGGTCTCCCTAAGTTACTTAGGGCCTCACTAACTTGCTGAGGTTGGCTTTGAACTTGTAATCCTCCAGCCTCAGCCTCCCAAGTTACTAAGATTACCAGTTTGTACCACCATGCCTGGCTCACCCAGCAATTTTGAAGCATGTTAAATTCCTATCAGAATATTCTATGTTGAAATATCACATGGTATACCATAAACATGAATAATTTTATATTTCAACCTAAGAAATTAATTAAAAAATAAAACTAAAGAATGCTCCAAAGTGTCCATTCAAGATGAGACATTGACTGGGACCACAGCACCCATGCTGTAGATTACAAGCAAATAAGTTAACTTTTAAAAGGGCTGAGGTAACAGGATGCTTTTTTTCTGGACTTCCAAATCTGTGTATCTGTTGTCTTTGGTGACATGGAAAAGAGAACCAAACAATTGTGCTTGTTGCCAGGGATCAGAACTGGAACCCAGGGCAACTCTGTGAGGATCAAGCATCCTTCAGCAATTCAAACTGGCAAGATGAGACTGACCAACAGCCAGGAAGGTGTGGGAATCATGAATCTTGAATGCAGGCTGCCTGAGCAATTGGAATTTTCATTTTACTGTTTTTGCATGTGTTAGAAAGCGCCCCAAAGGCATATTTCCAGCTTGATAATGAGATGATTTTGTAACTCTCTCTGGGACAAGCCATCAAAAAGGTAATAGGAGGAAAAGTAGAGGTATGATTTTGACTCCAGATTCTGCTGGACTATGGGGTAAAGCTTTTTGGAGTTTCTCTTTAGAGTTAAACCATGAAACCCTCATCATAAGGTCGTTCATTCACTTTCCTCAAATATAGAAGAGAACCCTACTTTATAAGGGTTTTGTTATCAGGATAAGTGAATGACTGCATGGAGAATGTGGAACTGTGGAAACTGTTTGGCTTATGACACTTACCCTCAATRTTAGCTATTATCACTCACTGTCCTGCCACTATCATTTATCAAGCATCTACTGTGTCCTAACCATGTGGTGGATGCCTTAACACATAAATAGGTCCAAATCTAAACATGGTTCACACTGGGAAAGGAAGCCCSAAATGCTGGCAACTTCTAAAAGTTTTGACCTTTGCCAGTCTTTCATCCAGATGGGAATTGGGTGATCAAACTTTTAGTTTTTATTCCTCTCACAAGTTCCCTTTTTTTCTGATGAATAAGCCCACTTTATGAGTGTTATATGCTTCCTGAAGACCTATTTCCTTAAAASTGGATACAAAGAAATGGGAGAGACTCTGAGTGAGACAATGACTCATGCAAAGGTCCAGATTGGCTTCAGAGGACTTATAGAAAGTAAGTTTGTGCCTCTGCTTGCACCACAAAAAAGACTTAAGAAGAAAAGCATAGAGATATAAGTAGAGGAACAAGAGCTTCCCAAGGCATGTTGTGGGGAGATGGTGAATGGAAGTCTTCTACCATAAGTAAGATGTTTGGAGATTCTCTATAGGTGTTCATTCACCTGGAACTATTAAATGTCATCTGTGTAACAGTACTGCCATGGATATCTTTTAAAACGCTATTAGCAATCCTGTAACATAAGGACTTTTTTCTATTTTTTTTAATGAAGAACATAAAGATCAAAAAGTAAAGTGACTGGACTAAGGTCAAACAGTTGGTGGCAAAACTGAATTTTAAACTTTGGTTTTATGATGCCAAACTCAGAATGCTTTTGCACACCATCATTCTGGCTTGGAAGCCAATGAAGAAATGAGGCATTATCATTTGATATAATAATAATTATCATTATTATATGATAATAATGATAATTATCATTATTAGTTGAAAGCTTTAAAAAAAGAAGAAAAAGAAAAAGAAAAGCGTTGGGTGAAGGTGTTTTTAATACATTGGAAGTGAGGAACAGGAAAGAACTAATCTGTTAGGGAGAAAGGGCATTATTAAGCCAGCGCTGACTATGGTAGCCTTTGAGAGGAGGAGGCTGCACATGAGCACCTGTTTTGTGCCAGGGGCTCTGCTCCCAGCGCTTACTGRGCACTCACAGCCACAGGCAGCGTTGCATAAGGCTCCAGTAACCACTGTTGTCCTGGTCTCCAGCAAACAGCTGGACCTTGGAACTCCGCCCCCCTTAGGCCCTCCTCCCGCCGGCTGTTGCGGCCCCGCCCCTCCTCCCCAAGGTGGCTCTGACTCCCAGTAAGWCTGAGCCTTGGCCGGCGTGCGGGAGAGGACCGCCGGGCGGGAGCGCGGGAGCCAGCTCCCGAGCGCGGCGCTGAAGTTTCCCTCCGGCTGCGCTCTCACCCCTGGCTGGCGCCCGTGCCATGCGGGAACTCTGGGACCGCGCGACAGCATGAAGGGCGGCGACCGAGCTTATACCCGAGGTCCCTCTTTGGGGTGGCTCTTTTCTAAGTGCTGCTGTTGCTTCCCTTGCGGAGGTGAGTGGCTGTTGCCATAGGTGCCTCATTTTAGCCTGGCTAGTGGGACTGGGAGGGAGGGTGGGAGGGAGGAAGTGGAACCGTAGGGGGAGGCTGCTGGGGTCGGAGTATGGGGGTGGAGGACGCGGGCGGCAAAGAAAGAGGGTTTGCTGTGAACCACGTACATTTCAGTTTCCCAGGCAAAACGCGCGCGCTCTTTTGGTGAGATTTTTGACTTGGATACGGAGCTGCAGTTTGGAGATGCAATTATTTCCCAGGGACTTTGGATGTCTGGGTGCCAATATTCTGGCGGGGGAGTGGGAGAATGGGGAGGGTACAGTAGAGGGATTCAGCTGTGAATGTCCCAGAAGTGGCAGAGGGACACTTCTCTGCTCATTTACATATGGGTCTCAGCTTCAAGACTCCTGGTTACAGGAATGTATTTGACACTTGTCTCTACACCAGGAACTATTTTTGCCAAGTGACAATTTTCTTATGGGACTGAAGCCTGGTTTTCTCTGCCTSGGCGTTCACAGGCCAGCGTGAATTTGTAGCACTGGGCCAGAGGTTGGCTCATTAATTAACTGAGAACTCTCTTTGTACCCAATTAGGACTGTGTTTAATTATTCTGCTAATTTTAATGTCGTTGAGGAGACTTGCAGGAAGCAACCAATTTCCCCAAAGCAGCCTGCAAATCAGGAGGATGAGAAGCATCTCAGAGAGAGGATTATAAATTGTGTAGCTTCTCCTAAAAAAGACAGCAGAACTTTCCTGGACAGAGGGAACAGTTATCTCTAACACTGTTAGTGTCACTTTAACACTTCAGCTGGAAGAGTGGACAAGAAAGAATGTTTTTGTGCACTCTGAAGTGAGAACATAGCTTCTTACTTGACATTTGCCCCTTTCAAAAGTTTCACCTATGGGGCCTTTTCCCTCCATTCCCATTTACAGTGCCCTAGTTTCTAGCTTCCCATCTTCATCTGTGTAACATCCGAATGGAACTTGTGGTCGAGTTACTAGTAAATAATCTTCATCTAAGTGACCCTTCACCCTTCTCTATCTCTCTCTCTCTCTCACACACACACACACACACACACACACACACGCACACAAACAATACGTAGCCTTGACAAATTCTCCAGCCTGAGCAGATTTATGGTTACAAAAACTAATTAAATCTCTAGGACCTTTCCCTGGGTCATTAAAGTTCATAATCCCAGCATTAGAGTCTCTCCATCTCTGCATTAATTAGAACAGCCTGGAACTGTGTAGTATCCAGTTCTAAACGTCTGAATTCAGATGGAGAAGCGATCTGAGGGGGCAGAGACTAGCAAAGCCTAACCTTGGAAACCTAGGAAGGGAATCCAAGCAAGGGGGTGTAAAAGGGGGAGGGAGCAGGAAATGGCCAAAGGGAAYCTGAGTGGGTGGGTTTTCTCCCAAGGCTGCGCTGCCTTAGGAGAGAAGGCTTTCCAGTAGAATTTCCTGGGAGTCCGGTTTCCTGTCTGGGCGGAACCTGGGGACGGGGCAGCGCTTATCCTAAGCTCCTGCAGCTGTCCTTGGGTCCAGAWGTGGTAGCTCTGGCTTCCTAGCAGGGTACTCCTCCCGGGTCTGTCTGGCCAAGCTTTGTGAATTGCCTCAGCCCGTTGCTGGCAAACAGAAGAGGGGTGGGGGTGGGGCTGCCCCGCCTGGGGACCCAGCTGCACTCTCTGGCTAGCAGAGGGGGCGTGCAAGGGGAGGTTAGTGGAGCCAGAGGTGCGGGAGGCCATTGACCCTCCGCTGAAGATCAGGGGAAGCAAAAGGTCCACCACTTAAGAAAACAGTTTAAACCAGCTCAAAGGGGAAAAGAAGGGTAACAAGGTGGGTCCATCCTCGCCAACTCTAGCTTTACTCTCTATTCTTTCCTAGATCTAAAATGTGTCTGAAGATGGGCATAGCGGTGGCGCACACCATTATCCCAGCTATTCGGGAAGCTGAGGCAGGAGGATCTCAAGTTCCAGGCCAACCTGAGCAACTTAGCAAGACCCTGCCTCTAAAAGGCCAGCATGCTGGGGACATGCAGAAACTGGGGATATAGCTCAGTGTATTCCTGTATTCAATCCCCAATACCAAAAAATCTGAAGCATGTTGTGGGGCTTCTGCGGAGAGGGAGTATCTGAGATGTTGGCACTCCCTGTGGCTCCCTCAGAGTAGGTTTGGCAGAAAAGAGAGATGGGAGTCTCCATTCAGCTGGAGGGCATAGATTGAGAAGCAGACTGAAAAGATAAGGCCTGTATTGAGTGCCAACGCATTGTCYAGAGCCCCAGAACTCTGGGAAAAGGCTGGCCCAACCCCAAGGTGGAAAAGGGCTCAGGGACAGTCTGAGGTTGGCTGGAGTGGAGGGTGTTCACAGCAGAGAACCATCTACCTCTTTTCAGTTAAACCAGTTTCTCTGGTCTTACAGACCTACTGCAATTGAAAGGCAGCCTCCCTACTCCCTGTTTCAAATACAGGCAGCTGGTTACTTGGCCTCTTACCCCTGTTCCCAAGAGCAGGCTTTCTCCTMCTGCTTCAGAAGCTTCACGCTGGAGCTAGTGGGTCAGAGCCCCCCCTGTTGTGGTTCCCCAGTCCAGGGCTCTTGCCTAGCTTCCAGACATTCAGGATGTAGAGGTGACCTCCATGTGAAACCTGAGGAGGACACAAGTGAAAGGAACCAAGAGGAAGAGGAAGTGGAATGTTCTGGTTCTTTTTGACTAAGAAGCTAAGTGAGCCATACTGGGATTCTCTGGAGAATCCTAAGTGGTTGTAGTTGTTGTTACTGGGTTGAGTCAAGGATTTAGTAACAGTACCCGTGTGGCCTTTAAATATCACATTTGAAGAAAATATGGATGAATGTAGTGTTAGACTTACTCACTCTCTCTCTCTCTCTCTCTCATACCAAAGATTGAACTCAGGGGCACTCAACCACTGAGCCACATCCCCAGCCCTATTTTGTATTTTATTTAGAAACAAGGTCTCCCTGAGTTGCTTAGCACCTCACTTTTGCTGAAGCTGGCTTTGAACTCTCAATCTTCCTGCCTCAGCCTCCTGAACAGCTGAGATTACAGGCACGTGCCACCACTCTGGCTGGAGTTGTCTTTTGATTTGGAAAAGCAAACAGTGACTATATTATGTTTTTCCTTTCCTTTTTTTTTTTTTTTTTTGGTTCTGTTGAGAATGGGTATGGTAAAGGGGATTGAGGAAAGATGGTCTTTCTTCCCTACCTCAAAAATGGTTCTGAAGAAGAGAAAAACTGAAAAACAGGAATACAGAAGAAATAGGTAAGAAAAAGAAGGCAAATACATTTATAACTGACTCTTTGAAAAGTGAAAAGCAACCAAAAGTGAGGTAATGGCATGCGTGTGTCTGAAAGGTGATAAATCATTGCTGTCACCCTCTGTGGGGAATTGAGGATTGGTTTGGCTAGTGAGACTGTCCTTTGAGCCTGAAGAAGTGGGTCACTTCTGAAGACTTCTTTAGTTATCTTAAAGTTAAAACACACACACACACACACACACACACACACACACACACACAATCCTTGTTTCAGGGTGACAGAAAATTTCACTTAGAAGTTGCTGACTTAGGTGTCCTACTGGCATTTGTGACTTTTTAGATCATGAAGCCTAGAGGTTTTCCTGATCTTTATAGTTTGTAGCCAGTTTTAGAGCATTCAATTTTCTGGTCCACTTGTAATTAACTTTGGCTATGTGGACCAGAGTCCCTTCTTGAAAGCCTCTCATGATCATCCTCCTCCTCTGCCCCTCCACCACAGGCATGGGATTTGTTTATACTTATTTACTGCTGTATTGATGTCCTTGGATCCCAAGCCATGTGCCATTGTGTTTTTTACATTTGCACTGAGATAGTTCAGCAGTCTGAGCATCTCCAAGGTGAGGGCCAGGGGTGGGGAGGTGCTGGGATCACATGCCTGTGGTTCTTTCACAGCAAAGTTAGTTAAGGTCCTGCTTGACTCTGACACCAGAGAGTATAGATAAGATCACAGGGGTTCAGGGGGCTTTTAAAGTCAACCTCAGGGGCTGGGGATGTGGCTCAAGGGGTAGCGTGCTCGCCTGGCATGCGTGCRGCCTGGGTTCAATCCTCAGCACCACATACAAACAAAGATGTTGTGTCCGCCGAAAACTAAAAAATAAATATTAAAAAATTCTCTCTCTCTCTTTAAAAAAAAWTTTTAAAAAATTAAGTCAACCTCATCTGACAACTTTCTTCTTCTTCTTTTCCTCCCTTGTCCCACCAGAATCCCTAATTGGGAACCTTGTGACTTGATGTGAATGTCTTGTCCTTGGCCTTAAATTAATATGGTTCATTTTATAAACTGAATTTAATGTGTGAAATTGTGACACCAAGTTTCTTCAGAAAGGTGTTGGTAACCTTGATGAGCTACCCTTGTGACACTCTGTTGCTTTCCTTTAAAGGACAATAATCCTTGAGACCAGGATGCCTATCCTTTTATTTCTTCATCTTCTGAGAAGTACCTTTATTAATGGTGAGAATTCAGTTGGCCATTAGTATGTATTTGTTTTTCCATTGCGTCTCAGTTTTTCTTTTTCTCCTAGGGATATACTGTAATCTGGGGAGACATACCATATATTCATACTGTCTACAACCCCGATCTCAACTCTGTTAACCATTGAGTAGTAACAGGATATCAGTTACTACTGGAATAATAGTACTAACTGCCTAGTGGAAATGGGAGGGTTTGATTTGGGCGGGGTGCAGTAGAAAGTAGGAACTGAAGCCAAACAGCCCTCCTTTGGTACAGCTGAATATCCAAAAATCACTACTAATCCTGTGGGCATGTTGTCCCAGGTGTGGGTCCCACTTCAGAACAAAAAAGATAAAAAATAGGAGTCTGTTTTTCTTTTTACGAAAAAAGAATTTAAAAGTAAAAAAGCAAGTGAACATCTTGCGGTTTTTTACACTTGAGCCCATCCATATGAATACTGTGGGCGGGACTGACTCCAGTGATATTGGAATTCCATTTT